AAATGCATAATTATGATTCATGCATAATGATTGTGGAAATAGCAACAATAGCTGAAGGAAGATGCAAAAAATGAGTAAAGTAGAGTATTTGAAAGAAGCAATTCTAGAATGACCTGATTAAGGTGATCATCGAATCGATCAAGTTGAGGAAAGAAGTAAATATGTTTATATATATAACGAATTTGCCTAATTGAAAAAAATATACAAATATGTTATGTACAAAAATATAAACATTTGCTGCCCTGAATCAGAAAACAGGAGTCAGTGTAGTGTACAAACGGCGAAAATATAAAAAGCGCTTTAAAAAAATAGCAACTACATAGTCGTAAGCAAGGCAAAGCGGTAGATGAAATGCCAAATTCAAAAGAGGCCTACAAGAATTACGGTAAAAATATGCTCCATAGAAAAGATTTGGAGTAAGAAAAGTATAAATAAAGGATGGGAAATGGGAGAAAATGATAGGTTTGATAAGTGTTTATGTCCTGTGAGGTCAGATTAGCTAACAAGATAATGTAATAGGAAAAATGAAGAGGTAAGAAATAATTTATGTAAATATACGGCAGCAGTCAAAATGGGCGTAAAATCATTCCAGTTATTGCATAGAAGGAGCAAGTTCATGAAGGGAAGCGAACGAAGATAAATGGCCATGCTAGTGAGCGTCTTGGGGATGCGCAATCTCATAGTGAGTATTAGGTAGAAAGAGGAATACAAAACAAGAAAAACGATTGTGAATATATATATATATATGATAGGGAGGAAAGTATAGGGGCGAAAGACTGATAATTAGAATAAATTTTGCCAGGAAGGCCTTAGAGATTTTGAGCCTGTCAAAGAAGAGTTTAAGCGTTTGATAATACGACTATATTTATTGTCGTGTCGAGGGCAGACCTATTGAAGGCTGGCGATGGCCAGAAGGTACTTGGCGAGTTGAGAGGTAGGCTGAGCTGGCACGGGGAGCAACTGTCAAGGCTGGTGGTACTAAGCGGATGGCCATGGTGCTAAGCTGTCCTGAAAGGAATTTGGCGCCGGGTGGGTTGGTATACGGGGTTAAGTGCGAGGGAAATTCAGGATACAAATTCAATAGCCGGTCTGGGTGGTAGTCTTCGTTCATATCTTCTTTCTCCTCTTCATCGTCCCCAAAAGAATCGTGTACATTAAAAGTGTCACATTCATCAACACCTGTCTCTTCAATCTCATCGTTCTCATGAACCATCGTTTTTCTCTCCTGTACCTCTCTGTCAAATAAAGCTGAACCTTTTTTTCCTCGCCTCCAAGTTTGTCCTTCAGTCGCGCTCAGATCAACAAGAGGCAGCTTTCTCATATCAAATGCCTTTTTCTCGTTGTCTTCCAAGAGGCTTGGCTTTGCGGCAGACGACTTAGAATCCCAATCTGAAGCAACCATAACTGCAACTAATGGAGCCGCCACAAGTTTCCCTCTGCCAGGCCGACTGTGTCGACCGACTACACGCTTAAGCAGGCCAGGCCTTCGGCGCTCGCTCGCTGCATTTGATAAAGAATCAGGTTGATGGGAATCTTGTACTAAGCTATTAGCTAGCCTCTCACGACCGTAAGTAAGGCGTCGCCTAAGGGGAGGTGGCATTAAGATTACAGCCTCTCCCATTTCTCCAGCGCCCTCTTCAGTTTCGTCCTCCACATCTGCTCCAGCCACCACTGTTGCTGCCATCTCATCCTGCTCCGTCTGACCGACAGGCAAAGGCCGGCCCGGTAATCTACGAACAGCGACAAGACCGCCAGCTCGTTCCACCAGACGTCGAGCCAAAAATCTAGGCCCAAAGGGTGATTGACCGAGACTAGATACCTCCTATAATAATAATAATAATAATAATAATAATAATAAAAGACAACGAATGGATTTTCCAGTTGACAATAAAAATTCTAAAGGAAACAAAACGAATGCATCTGACGAATAAATT